ACATTTATAAATATTAATGAATTAATATGGCTATTTCTTAAATTATTCATATTTCTAATTTATTCATTAAAATGCTTATTTTGCATCATCAATTGATAAAAAAAAATTTACATGAAATAAAATCAAACAAATCATACAAAAATCTTCTTCTTTGCCAAGTTCTTTTAGATTTAACTTTCTCGTTCCCATTTATTTTCAACAAAAAAAAAAAGTGCATGAGGTGAAAAAATAAATTTTAAATAATAAAAATAAATAATGAATAAAAGTGGTATAATAATGTTATAAATGATAATAAATAAAATTATAATCATATTTTTTTATTTCTCATAAAAATCAAACATTTATTTATCTTCCTTTGATTTAATTCATTCATTATATATGTAATGAAAGCTAATAATAATAAGATAATTGAAAATATTAAGAAGAGAAGTGGAAGTGGAAGAGAAGAAGATAAGAAGGTAAAACAAATATTATTAGTATATATATTTATTATATTTTAAATGTAAAAATATTATATTTTCTTTTTAACTTTTAACAAAATATTTTTTTATAATTAAAATAAAAATGACAAATTTTAGTGCCTAATTAATATTTGAGTATAATATTTTATATAATATATAGATAAAAATAGATAGATATAAGTGTACATTGTTAATCTAAAAAATTTTTACTTTTTGATTTTTTTAATATATAAGTTTTATTAATTGTTAGTCTAATAATTAAATAATTTTTATCTTATTTTTTTTTTCATCTTCCTTAATTATTTTTAATTCTTATTTAATCAAATTAATAGTTCTTTAAAATTGAAGTTAAACAATATCAATTATTATTTTAATAAAAAAATCATATTTTAACAATTATCTTTTTGTTTTTGTTTTTATATTAGTCTTTACCAACTCTTTTTTTATAATTACTTAACTTGTAAAATTTTGTTTGATAATTATTTTTCTTGTCCCTTTTCTCATTTCCAATTTCCTATTATTTTTGTCTATTCTTATTTTATTTCTTTAACTTGTATTACAAACTATTTAAATATATTAATATAAATGCTCAAATTAAAGTGACAAAAAAAATTTGAATGAGATTTTAGTGGATTTAAATGCACATTTCTAAATATATATTGTCACGCCCCAACCCCAAGGTCAAGACGTAACAAACGCCACACATTTATAGGGATGACCCCATAAATGTGTAAAGCTACCTTAACTAAACAACTTCTAGTGTCCAAATGCAATAAAATTAAATTCTATAAGAAACTCCATCTTTATTAACATGTACGAGAAATTGGTCAAATCCAAAACACTTAATCCTCACTTCATAAAATCCAACATAAAATTTAATAGCAATAAGTCATAGCAAATAGATCTTCAATTCTAATTATTCCACAATCCAAAATAACTTAAACTAAACCAAAGAACTACTCTAGAATCGTTGTGCCTCTCACTCCCAAATGCAACCCCAAATGCTTATTCGTCTGTACCTGAAATGAGATGAGATTTTAAAAGCATAAGCTAGACAGCTCAGTAAGAATATACCCATCTAGTTCGATCAAGCATTGTATTTCAATGAAATAATAATTAAATAAAGTAAACAACTTTTCAATAAGGAAACCACATTCCAAACTAGATGAAACGAAACAACAATTTCAAGTTCTTTAGGTTGCATCACACTCCAAATATAGCATCACACTCCGCATCACATTCCATGATAAATAGATCCCGGGACTACTATCAATACCCTTAGTATACCCCTGAGGAACGGGTTAGTTTATCCAACCAACCAAGAACATGAAAACCCAATATCAAAAGAAAAATTATTTCCAATTTAATAAACCACACTCTTCGATAGAAAACAGTCCACACTCAAAATGCTTGATCAACATTCATCTCATTTCATTATAAAATATTCTTATTCTTAAGACATAGTAACCAAAAAAAAATTATATAAATACGCTGAAAAGGTAAAATAAATTTCAATAAAACAAACCTTTTAAAAATAATACTAGAGGATATAACAACTTACCTCGAATTATTAATCAATTTTTCACTCGACGTTGCCTCTTGAATTATTTAAAACTTTTCTACTATCTTCTTTATTAGAATTGAAAAGATCTACAAATCGTAGCCCATATTGCTAGAATCGAATCTGACATGAAATAGAGTTCCAAAATTCTCTCAATTCCTCTTCCAATTCACATTCTTAATTATAAAATTAGATCTAAGAACAAAACCATCACATAATTGGGAAACTTACCCTAAATTTTCCTCAATTCGACTAATTCAGCAATCTATCGGACGGAAACCCCTTTCTATGCTTTCACAAATGGGCAACAGCACCTTCAGAAGTGGGCGGCAGCATTACAAAATTTCTGCCAACCCCTAGCCCGTTTCCTATTTGCAAGCGGAAGAAAGGTGACGATCCTATTTCCCCAAAAAGAAAGTGGGAAAAAATGAAACTGCCGACTCACTTGATTTGGGGCTTTTTACAAAAAGGAAATATTGTTAATTGGTCCCTAAGCTTTAATTATAAGGTTCTAGTCCCTGAGCTCCTTACATCATTATAATTTCAACCCCAAATTTAATTCTATCATATATACACCCTCTAAGAGCTTAAATAATTTATTTAAATCTTAAGTAAGAAATCCTTGGGTATTACATATATAACAGTAATATTAGATATATCT